CTACCGAAACAGCTCAGGAAATTTGTTGATTACTTGTATTTTGGATTAAAATATCTAAGGCATTGGCTCACACATTCGGCAAATGGCAAATAACGAGTGTGGTTTAATCGTTTGCTCCCTAAGAATTTAGCTGTTTAAGTGATTAAAAGTGCAACAAAAAGTTTGAAATTTTGACTGATTGTAGTGTTAACGATTCTGCATCTAACGATGAATTCAAATTGTGAGTAACATATTTAATTTTGGAGAAATTCCGCATAATAACCTAATTTGTAAATATAATTATTATCGAAATCTCATTAGTAGAATATAAAAACACAATTTATCTGTGTAGATATGAATTTACCTATTTATATGTATAAATGAGACCCAGTGGCGGAGGAAACTTTTAAATTTACTTATTTGGATTTGTTGAATTCATCTATAAGTATTCAATTACAAGCTATGGAAGGTAAATTTAAATGCTGCAAAAAAGATGCTCATTATTATTGGTGTATTTGTTGTTTCGCCATTTTTCATCCTAGTTGCATTAAAACTAAAAAAATCATACCTTTATCTGAAAATAAAATTTATTGTAACAAGGCATGTGAACGAATTGTAGAAGATAAAGGTTTAGAATTTATCAAACTAAAAGAAGAAATTCAAAAATTCAACAATAAATTAGCTAATGAAGAGGAGAAATTTGAAAAACTAGATTTTAATTATGACCATGATGCTAAAGTATTACAATTAGAAATTAATAGACTGAACGAAGATATTGAACAGAGAAACTCACATCTGTTAAAATTAAAAAAAAACATGCTAGATTTCGAAGACGAAGCTGAAGAAGCCGAAAAAGGTTATTCTGATAAAATTAGAAATCAGATGAGCATTATCTCTAAACTTCAAGATGATATAAATAATATGAAAATATTAAATGATCAATTATTGAATGAAATTATAAAACATGAAGAAGGAAGAGATACAGAAAGAAAGTCGCTAATAGAATTGGAGGAAATAAATCGAAATATGATCGATACAATCAGAATATTAGAATCACAAAATAAGAGTTACGAAGTTAATTTAATGCAGAAATCTGGGATGGAATTTTGGAGTCTTGAAAATAGCGTCGAAAATAATCAAGAAAATAGTCAGGAAAATATTGAAAATAATCGGCCAAACATTCAAAATGGTAACGAAAAAAATTACGAAATCGATAATAATCCAGCTCGAACTGCCCGATTACTGAGAAATACTGAGAAAAAAGAAGCTGAAAAACATGTGTTAATATTAGGGGATGAATTAGCTAGCAATGTATCTAATTATTTAAATTCATATCTTGATGCATCGGAATATTCAGTGGTAGGTGTTAGTAAACCTAATATAAATTTTGAAACTTTGATAGATTCAGTTTTTGAATATTCTCAGAAGTATGGTAAAAATGACTTTCTTTTTATACTAGTTAATACACTGAATATTTCTAATTATACTTCATTATGTAAGGCTCTAGCTCAGTTATTACCACTAGGTAGATTAACAAATCTATTTATTTTTTCTAAGAATGCTCACAAATATGATAAGAAAATTGAAAGTTTTATTGGGAATAAAATTAATCAATTTTGCTTAATAAATAGAAATACGTCCATAACATATGTACCTAATGTGACAAATATTAAATTGTCAATTAGAGAAATGGTAAATAAGTTTTTACATAAGAATACGAAAATAAACCAAAATTTAGTTTTAAAAGTTATTTTACCAAATGACAATAAATTTGAATATGTAGAAAACACTGAGCCTATTGTTATTGACTTAGGAGAACCTAATAGTTCTTTTTTAGATGTAGTCCATCCATTAATCCCGTTGACTCCTTAACGTTCTTACTTTTAAATATTCGGTCTGTTCGTAATAAAGTTGATGATTTATTTTTATTAATAGAAGATTACTGTTTCCCTCACATTTTATTATTAACGGAACATTGGCTTGAAAAAGATGAACATTTATTTATTCCAAATTATAACTTAATAACTATTTTTTGCAGAGAACTGTATGAACACGGGGGTACAGCAATCTTAATACATGATTCCATATTTCATACTTTGGAATTTAAGATTGTAGAATATCCTGAACTTTTAGAGGAAAAACAATTTGAGTTTTCCATTATTTTTATTCTTAAATTTAATATTTATGTTGTTTGTATCTATAGATCACCAAATTCAAATGTTTCAGTTTTTTTAAACAATTTGGAATCTTTGCTAAGTAGATTTTCTACAACATCTAAAATAGTTTTGACAGGTGACTTAAATATAGATTATCTCAAGGATGATGATAATATTACTATTAGATTAAAAAATTTATTAATTTCCTTTAACTTAAGTATGCATGTTAAGGAAGCAACAAGGATAACGGATTGTACCGAAACGTTACTTGACTATTTCTGTACGTCTTACGAACCTGCTAATATATCGTGTACAGTGAATCCCAGCGGTCTGTCTGATAATGAAGCCGTTTTAGCTTCGATATCTCTTGAGCATAAGCTTCCTAAGACTAATTCTCGTCATGGTCGATTGTTTAGTAAATCTAATTATGGAAAATTTCATTTAGTATGTAAAAGTTTTAATTGGTACAGTTGCTTTACTGGTATATCTCCTTTTAACGATTTTTATTTAAATTTAAGCAAATTTTTTAATGCGTCTTTCCCTATTCAAAAAATAAAAATTAAGCCAAAAAAGCCGTGGATTACAGCTGGTTTAAGATGTTCATAAAAAAATATGAGATCTCTCAACTATATAAAAAAATTTACGCAAAATAATTTATTTTTAAACTATTATTATCGCTACAGATCTTTATATCGAACACTTATTAGAAAAGCTAAAGATATGTACTATCATACAAGAATCGAGAGCTCAAAAAATAAGGCAAGGGAAACTTGGTCTATTATTAATTAATTGAGAGGCAAAAGTACCCATAAATCATGCAATGCAAATATAAATCCTAACGATTTCAATACTTTTTATTGCAATATCGCTGAAAATCTAACAAAAAATCTAAATAGAACAACTGACCCATTAGAATTTGTAAAATCGTCACCAATTAAATATTCATTTTTCTTAAGAGAAACAAATTCCTCAGAAATATTAAAAGTTTGTAATGACATACACAACAAAACTGCATCAGGACATGATGCAATGTCAGTAAAAATATTTCAAAACTTACCTACCTCTGCATTAGACGTTTTATCCATTTTAATAAATAAAAGTTTTATTGAAGGTACTTTTCCTCCTTTTCTTAAAACAAGTGTTGTGATTCCATTATATAAGGGAGGAGACTTGACTGAGCCATCTAATTTTAGGCCCATATCTCTAATTCCGACACTCGGAAAAATTATTGAGAAACTTGTAAAAATTCGACTAGTTAGATATCTAGACCAAAATAATATATTGGACATAAATCAATTCGGTTTTCAACACAACAAAAACGTATCGGACGCTGTTTCTTCTTGTTTGGAATTAGCTTATACAAGTTTAAATTTCAACGAGGCCGTAGCTGCAGTATTTTGTGATCTGACTAAAGCTTTTGACTGTGTCAACCATGGAGTACTGCTGTAAAAGCTTGTAATTTATGGCATAAGAGATATGGCCTTGAGTTGGATGAAATCCTACCTTTTAGGTCGCAAACAGTTAGTCCGAACTGTTTCAGACTCGAACACAAGTGACATAAAATGGGGTGTCCCTCAAGGTTCTGTTCTTGGGCCCACCCTGTTTTTAATTTATATCAATGATTTAGGTAAGTTAAATATCTCAGGAAGTTCCACTCTATTTGCTGACGATACTACTATCTTGTGGCACAATAAAGACGTCAATATTCTTTATGCAAATATTAGTAATGACCTAAAATCCTTTAAAACATGGTGCACTGCAAATTTTCTGTCATTAAATTTAAAAAAAAAAATACTAACCTTTAAATGTAATGTTCCTGATATTTTAATAGATATGGATACTGTAGAAGCCACAAACTGTACAAAATTTTTGGGTTTAAATATCGACATGGATTTGAAATTCAAATCTCATGTGGATTCACTTTTAAAAAAACTCGCATCGGGTTGTGCAGCAAAAACTGCATATTATGCGTTAGTTGACTCCCATCTACGTTATGCTGTTCAGTTTTGGGGAGTCTGTTCTGCCGAGTTATTTGACAGAGTCTTTATAATGCAGAAACGGGCAATAAGGTTCTTATGTGGAGCACACAAATTAGTTTCATGCAGACCGCTGTTCTTAAAACAAGAAATATTAACATTAACATCTTTATTTATCTTAGAAACTTGTTGCATGATCCATAAGAACAAGTCGAAATATAAATCGAATACATCCCGTGTAACTCGCCAAACGGGTAACTTGAAGTTGCCTATTCCCAAAACTGAACTAATAAGAGACTCTTTTATATACAATGGTATCAAAATGTACAATAGGCTATCACATACGTTGACAGATATTGAGTCACAGAATTGTTTTAGAAAGCTGCTCAAGAGATTTCTGTTAACTAGGCCTTATTATAATATTATAGAATTTTATAATGACGAGACACTGTGATATGTGTTTTATTTTGTTTTATTTTATTTTAGATGTATGTATTAATGTTAATTTATAATAATGTTTGTTTATATTTTAATGACTATTTATTTATTTGTAATTTGTATACTATTTGTACAATATTGTGTTTGTATGACTATTTATTTATTTATTTGTAATTTGTACATTGTGTTTGTCAATAAGTATTTTAACTTGGACAATAAACATATATTCTCTCTCTCTCTCTCTCTCTCTCCCTCTCTCTCTCTCTCTCTCTCTCTCTCTCTCTCTCTCTCTCTCTCTCTCTCTCTCTCTCTCTCTCTCTCTCTCTCTCTCTCTCTCTCTCTCTAGATATTTTTACTTTTGGTTTCACTAATCGGTGATATGTCAATTTGGTTATGTGGGGTGTTGGTATTGTTGAACAAAACTTACATGGAATAATTTATGCCACTTTTCTACATACTCTGCTTATTTTATTTTGTACTAAATAGGTATAATATATAAATATAAATAATTAATTAACATAATTGTTTTTACCAGACCAATTTCCGTACATTCTAGCGTTACAAAACATTCTAAGCGTAAGAAAATAAAAGGCCTCCATCAATGACAGAAGCGAAAAGCCAGTGAAGAGACCAAGTAGTCCTCCGAAATTCGCCAAAAAGTCCAAAGGACCGTACAGTTCGTTCCTTTCCGAGAATATGAACTCCGACGACTTGAAAAAGATGATCAATGTAGAAAACTTTATCCTAAAAACAAAAATAAAGAGAGTTATATCATCTGACAGTTGTGATCTGTCAGTTGCCATCTGTCATTTGTAATCTGTCAGTTATTTTCCTTTCACTTCTAAGATTTTATCTCTAATCAGTCTTACAATTTTGTGTTTTGTTATCGATAACCTTTTGTGACATGGTCCTGATGTAATAGTAATTTGTGCAACACGAGTGGATATGATGGCCATATTGCACAAAGACGAAATTTGAGCACGACGCTCAATCGTCTGAGTGCGATATGGATAATCCACTCGAATTGTACAGTATATTTTTTCCACGACCCAAAAACTAAAATTTACAAATAAAAAAAATATTTTAGGTTATTAAGGCAAAATAACTAATTTTAAAATAATTTATAACTTTTAATAATTTTTAGAATAAATAAACACCCAATAAAAAAGTACTTGTGGAACAGTGGTCTACAATGTGCCTCATATGGTACCATATCAATAGTCCTAACAGCAACTTTTTGTAAATTAAAGGTCAAGTGCATTTTCCCACAGTAGGATGCCGTATGACATTGCACTATAAACCATTGCATAATAAAGAGTTTTAATTGTGTTGTTATCAAGAGAGTTCCTTAGCTGACGCATGGCAAATATCTTCTACATAAAACGTCAATATAATTTGACTAGTTTAACCTTGTATCTAAAGTTATACCAAGTAATTTTACTGGTTCCGATTTTATTACCTATGTATCTGAGCTAAAAATTATGTTTTATGTTTTTAACTCATTTAGTTTTAAGTTGTTACAACTAAACTGAGTTTCTGCCGTTTAAAACATTTCTCATCTAAAATATTCACCATCTCCTAACAAAAGAGTGGCATTATCCGCGAAGAGGGCCCAACGATGATGGAAGATCGTTAACATAGATAAGAAATAAAACCGGCCCAAGAACGGAGCCCTGTAGGAAGTTACTGTGAGTCCATATCGTTGAGGCTTACCAGTTGCGTCCTTCCCGATAGGTAGGATTTAAGAAGTTCAACGATACCAAGGATACTTCCCTTTATGCCATAGTGTTCCAATTTTAAAAGCAGAGTTTCCATGTTAACACAATCAAAGGCCTTTGTGAGGTCGCACGTTGCTTCGTGAATAGAATAACTATCATCAAAACCTTTAACTATTTTATCAATTATGCCATTGTGAATAATGATTTACTTTCAAAATAGGACAATAGTTTTTTTATTATTATTTTTTTTTTTTTGGTGTGTCTCGGCTTCAACTGCTAAGGTTTTTTCGCCTCGTGTTCTGTGTAGGCTTTGTTACTGTTTCCCAGCGCCACTATTATTATTATTATCAGTTTATATTTGGCTGTCAATAGGTGAGGATCTATGTTTATTAACATTACTCCGTATCTACGTCTGTTTCGTTTGTGTATGTAGTGTATATATTTTTTAATCAATGATTGCTAAATGTTTAAGAACAAAAATAAAAATAATAATGTGCCATTAAAAATAGTTTTGCAATGTGTAGAAAAAAATAATAAAACAGAATCAACACCTGCCAAAGTGCTTTTGGAGCAAAGAAAACAGAACCTGCTTCAGGTAACTCAAACAAATAATATAGAAACAATGGAAGTGGAAGAAAATCTCCTAGCCCAACAATATCAGGCCTTATTCTATGAAAATCAAGCTAGAAGTCAAAATGAATAGGCATTGTACAATGCTTGGATACAGGAAAAAGCTGAAAAGCAGCCACTAGAAAGTGACAATATAGAAAATATGCAAAAACAAATTAATATTTTAAAATCTAAAATCCAACGAATTATAAAATTGATGAAGAAGGACTGGCAAAAGAAATCATCGATCAAATTAACAAAGAAGTAGAATGGATAACAGCGGAAAGCAGAAACAATAGAAGAAAAAAACGAAAAGCCAACTCCTCTCCTGAAACCTCTACTGGCCAATCTGTAGGTAGCAAAAATCGACAACAAGAGAAAGAAACAGTCGAAAAAACAGTGAAATTTCCCCCGATAATAGCAAGCAACATCAATAAGTATGAAGAATTGCGCCATGCACTAGCAGAAAATAATATTTCCTTTCAAGTCACAGCTCTAAGCAATAACCAGTTTAAAATTAATACTAAACAAGAAGAACACTTCAAAAATGTCATATCAACCTTAAATGCCAAAGAAATAAAAGACATTAAAGTAATGGTTAGAGGTCAACCATCTACATCTAAACCAGAAGATATTATTGAAGACTTGCAAAGTCAAGGATTAAAATGTAAAGAAGCTGTCAATATAATAAAGAAGGAAATAGAATTAAGCGAGGATAACACTCGTAAACTAAATCAAAAATGCCCCTATTCATGCTATCATTCGAAAATATTCAAGATATTAAGAAAATCTACGAAATCAAAGCAATACTTAATCTAAGAGTTAGAATAGAAACCATAAGAAAGTTAAAACTAGTTCCGCAATGCAAAAACTGTCAGCTATTTGGACATACGCACAACTTTTGCAAAAGAGAATCAAGATGTGTAAAGTGCGTAGGAAAATATCATACGAAAGATTTTGTAAAAAGTCCAAAACAACAACCGAAGTATATAAACTGCCTAGTGGAACATCCTGCTAACTACAGAGGATGTGAGGTAGCTAAAACCTTTCAGATAAGGAAGGATAACACCACTAAACCTAAAATAATGACGAGGCAGAAGAGATCTATAAAACGCTTTTCCTACTGTCAGAAATGAAATAAAATTCTCAGGTAACAAACTTACAGAAGCAACCAATTCAAAGGTCATAACCAGCCATGAATCCCACGCCACAAATTGCGCAGCATACTTTACAGTCAACCAGCTTAGCAGAAAGTACTACTCATGAATTATTATTATCCTTAATAACCAGAATAGATTCACTCTCTGACAGGATCCAGAAGATAGAAGAATTAAATAAACCCCAAACATATAACAAAACCACTAATGGATAGAAGAGATATTAGAATAGCCACTTGGAATGCCAATGGTATTCTCCAAAAACAAACTGATATCCAAGTTTTCTTGGACGTACAAAAAATAGATATATGTCTAATTTCTGAGATCCACCTTACAACAGAGTAATACATTTAATTCAGAGGATATAACTTCTATCACACTATCCATCTATCAAATGCAGCAAGAGAAGGAAGTGCATTATTTATTAAAAATAACATTTCCCACTATGAGGAACTAGGCATCAAAGAACCAGAAAATCAGGTAACCATTGGCACCATTAACATTAAGGGGAGCAAAATTACAATAGCTGCAATCTATTGCCTACCAAGATACAACCAGAAAAAAGAAAATTATCTCAATGTACTCAAAAAACTAGGTAACAAATTTATAATCGGTAGAGATTACAACTCCAAACACACAAACTGGGGTTCAAGATTAACCACAGTCAAAGGAAAAGAATTGCACCGAGCTGCATCAGAACTTGATTGTACATATCAATTTTCTGAAAAACCCACCTATTGGCCTAAATAAGATTTCAGACATTTCGGATTTCTTTATTCTGAGGAAAATTTCACCAAACTGTACACAAGTAGGAGAAAACTTTGATATGGATTCAGACCATTCTGCAGTAATCCTTACTCTAAGTGATAATGTTATTCAAAGAGAAGCCAAACTGACCCTAGCAAATCGGAAAACTAATTGGGAAGGTTTTCAAGAGGACTTAACAAATACTATACAACTGACCATAACACTAAAAATGAAAAATCAGCTAAATGAAGGATTGGAAAGGTTTATAGTTTAAATCCAGCAAGCTACATGGAGGAACACACCAAAAGTAAGAAGATTAGCGGCTGAAAAAAACTATCCTGTCGAGATAAGAAAACTAGTATCAGAAAAAAGAAAACTAAGAAAGAAATGGCAGATGACAAGATCACCAGAAGATAAAAATATATTAAATAGGGCTACCCCAAGACTGAGAAGAGAAATTCTAAATCACAAAGAAGAATCCTTTAACAGATACCTAGTAGGGCAAACTGATTATTCACTCTGGAAGGCAACTAAAAAGATGAAAAATTCGTATAAACACTCTCCTCCTAGCAAAATAGCAGATAACAAATGGGCAAAAGACAATCAACAAAAAGCTGATATTTTCGCTGACCACCTACAAAAGACGTTCCAATTAGATGAAACTCAAGACACTCCTAATGAGACCATCCATAATTTGGAACAACTTGAAATTAAGCTAGTTACTCCCAATGAAGTTACGAAAGAAATTCAGACAAACATGAACTCACAGAAAGCCCCAGGATATGACCTTATTACTGGAGAAATATTAAAGAAACTACCACCGAAGGCTATTGACAAATAGACATACCTCATAAATGCAGCATTTCGCCCTTAATATATACCTGATGCGTGGAAAATGGCTGAAGTTATCCTAATTCCTAAGCCAGGAAAACCTCTGAATAAAGTGTCTTCATATAGACCTATATCATTGTTATCGATAATTTCTAAGTTATTTGAAAAACTACTACTAAAACGACTAAAACCAATAATTGAAAATAAAAATCTGATCCCTTCGCACCAATCTGGTTTTAGAAACAAACACTCGACAATAGATCAAGTACACAGGATAGCCGATATCATCGAAAAAGCTTACGAAGAAAAATATATATGCTCAGCTATATTTCTTGACGTAGCCCAAGCATTTAACAAGGTTTGGCATGCTGGCCTAATACAGAAACTTGAAAAAATGCTCCTTAGATAATATGTCGACGTTCTACAATCATATTTAATGGGAAGAATGTTTAGAGAAAAGCAAGCATACTCCGAAATGAAAGAAATTAAAGCAGGTGTCCCACAAGGCAGTGTGCTAGGACCGGTTCTTTACTTATTATACACCAGCGATATCCTTCAACAACAATCTGTTAAAATAGCAACATTTGCGGATGACATTGCAATATTGGCAGTTGGCGGAACTAATACAGAAACCTTAGAAAAACTTCAGGAAATCTGCAACAGAATAAATCGATGGACAAAAAAGTGGAAAATAAAAATAAATCAAACTAAATCAGTTCATGTTGATTTTACTCTTCGACCAAATGAACAAAAACAAATAAGAATAAACAATGACGTTATTCCGCATCACGATTCGGCCAAATACCTAGGGATGAACCTAGATGTAAGACTTAAATGGAAAGAGCTCATAAAAAAAAGCTTAAAGAACTTGAACTTAAATTAAAAAAATGTATTGGCTCTTAAGAAGAAAATCCAAATTCTCAGTGCACAACAAACTGCTGATAAACAAATCCTAAAACCAATCTGGATTTATGGCATACAGCTATGGGGATGTGCAGCAAGAGTAATATCAACATGATACAAGTTTTCCAAAATAAAGTCCTAAGATGCATTGTTGATGCACCTTGGTTCTACCAAAACGATTATTTTCATAGAGACCTGAAGATACCAACAATCGAAGAAGAAATAAAGAGGTTTGCTGCGAAATATGAGGGTCGACTCCACTCCCACGTCAACGAAGAAGCGTTGCAACTACTGGACAACTCTACACTTAACAGAAGACTCAAAAGGAAGAAGCCATTTGACCTAGTGCAGTGAACTAAATGTTAGTGTTAGTGTAAAACAGTGTAATAAATCGTCACGCCAACTTGTGATGTTTTCCTATAGAAACAATTAAGACAGCCCAATCGGGACTTCTTAGATAAGTAATTTTTAGATTAAAATTGTAGGTTAGTCAGTAATGACTAGTAACAATACTCTAACAAAAAAAAATATTATTAATATTATTATTAGTTATTATTTTTATAGAATAGTTATAAAATATATTTGTTCAGTTAATGGCAATAGTATACTTGTTCGTTTTGTAACATGTGCGTAGATAAGCTAATAATCATGTGGGGGTAGAAAACATAAATATAAGGATTTAACATTAAATTTCCTAGCTATTTTTTGTTCATCAATTTTTTTTTGGATTAACAAAAGCCATCGATATAATATAGTAAGCGTTAATATTAATGATTATCTAAGAATTATTTTTATAAAATTTAATGTTATTTTTTATGGGAAGACACGTTTCAGTTAACCAAATTTGTAATATCTGTATATTCTATTTACTATATCTCATAGTTTTGTCATATGTCAACGATGGTCATACTTACATGTCTCTATTGATCGGTATGCTGTTGTTCTTGTAATGTTTGCTTTCAGCATTAAACCAGTCCCATTTGCTTTGTGACGTTTCGACCAAATAAGTCAAATCGGAACACATAGGCAAGCAGTCGCAGATAGGTAAATCACCCGGAAAGAATTTACGCTCGTTGGGCCACGTTTTTTGGGTAATGTACGAATTATTTTGAGACGTATTCAGATGTCGCAAACTGAACAATTGAAATTGCGTTTCGGCGTAATTCATGCACTCGTAGTTTCCCAGGCCGCAGATGTTTGTGGAGTTCTCTCCTGAAATGTATTAGGTATAAATTTTGTAAATTTTACTTGTGCTAGCTATCGATCAAAATAGTATCAAACTGTTTATTAGTTTTCCAATTAATCTTAATTGTAAGTCAAAATCATAGATTGTAACTATATTATTAGGAATTTCAACGACTTGTTAAAATGCTACCAGTGGGATCTGACAGTTTAGATATGGCAACCCTGTGGGCCTGGTATTATTGACAGGACCAACGATACATATATAGATTGGGAGTGAGGGTAGCCATATGTGAGTAGTAGGGATTAAGTGTAAGGGGTTAAAGAAAAGGTCCTTTATTTCTCACAAGTCAATTTAATTGGCGACCGGTTTCGAAGCTGTCACTTCATCATCAGGCACACCTAAATGGAATGTCAAGGAGTCAGTTGTAATAAAAAATAATTATAAAGCATTAACGGACTTTAACATATACAAAATAACAGAAAAAACACAAAAGAAAGTTAAACAATAAACTTGACGCACCTTGACTATTTCCATAAAGGAAGCGCTACATAAAGTTTAACAAAACGAGTTAAAAAAGTAATATGTAATACTATTGTATTACATAAACACAATAGTATTACATATGACTTTTTTAACTCGTTTTGTTAAACTTTATGTAGCGCTTCCTTTATGGAAATAGTCAAGGTGAGTCAGGGTTATTGTTTAACTTTCTTTTGTGTTTTTTCTGTTATTTTGTATATGTTAAAGTCCGTTCATGCTTTTATAATTGTTTTTATTACAACTGACTCCTTGACATTCCATTTAGGTGTGCCTGATGATGAAGTGACAGCTTCGAGACCGGTCGCCAATTAAATTGACTTGTGAGAAATAAAGGACCTTTTCTTTAACCCCTTACACTTACAATATAGATTGCTCAAAGCGGGCCGTTTGCGATTGCCTGGCAAGTATTCATTAAAAATGTGTTTTAAAACTAATTTCCAGCCTTTGAATATTTAAAAATATAATTGTCTACATTTTTACTTCAAGGCATAATATTATGTTTATTTCTGATGGCCAGTCTATATAACTAACTATATCATTGACCCTATCAAACCACCAGACCCACAGTGTTGCCATATTATAACCTATTATGTGTCTGTCAGTGTCCTGTCATTAACGAGCAGCCATTTTGTTTGGAATGCCTAATTGCATTATTGATAGTAGTTATTTTATATTAACAGTTATTTATTTTGATTTGTTATCAAGAAGTTACAATAAAATAAGGCATTTTAATAAAATCAAAAAATAAGTTATGAGAATTAACTGAAACTACTGATTGTTTTCAATTTTAAAAACGTTCTTTGTCATTTGTCAAATGTCTTTTGTCACTTGTCAAATGCTTGTCTTCACTAATTGATCGATATATCAGTTGTATTAAAGAACGTGTATAGAAAAGTTTTAAAAAGTTGAATAATGTACATATTTTAGTTATTAAAAGTCAATGTGAGTCATCTATGAGCTGTCTGCAGTCGTCTGCATACTTACTGGGCATAAAAAATGCCACGCAACCGCAGTAGTACAAAGTGAAGTTGGTCTGGCATTCCAGTTTGCAGGTTTTAGGTGTGTATATCTTGAAAAATTTCAGATGTTTTTCGTAGGAAAAATAGCAGTTTCTTTTCTTGACGTCGTAGTTTCTCAGACGGCTGGACGTCTTAATCATGTTGGGATTGATGCCTGCTATGACAATTTCATTGTTGGGAACCTTAAAAACACGAAAAAATTTAACTTGTTTGAATTAAGGCCTGGTCGGGTTCTTCAAAAATACGTTAAAAACAATCAGAGGACTAGTTGACCAGTGGACAGTTTAATAGTTGTACGCGACGAATAATTTGAAATTTAACTGTTCTACTGGTTCTCGGACGGTTTGCATCAAATTTTAAAGAAACCCATAGAACAAACCCATAGATTGTAAATTGGGGTCGCTACTTACCCTAAAGTATTCCTGACTTGAACGAGGAAGTCTTGTCGGAAGATGAATGGAGACCTTAAACAACATGAAAAATTTGTGAAACAAGTGCTCAATGTGAATGTGCAATGGGCAAAATCAAAGGTAGCGTGTTCAAAATATTTTCTATTTCTGCTATTTTCTTTTGACGCAATTCAATACCTGGTGAGTCAAAGAAGTAGTTGTTATCAAAAGAGAAAGGACCGCACATATATTGTGACTATGGCTTTGAGAATTATTTAATGTTTTTGACTATTAGGTAAATTAATACCAACCTTATATCCATGAATTCCACCTTTACACGTCTGATCCTCATCTAAGAACGTGGATATCAATGTAACGGTAAGAGCGTTATTGACGCCAGCAAGTAAAGCCCGTCTAGGATACGTTTCCAATCCGGCAGATTTGGAATATCCCTCTTCAATATTCCAATTGTCGCTTATATTTCTTTCGGCATTGAGAAAATCATAATGTTGATAACTGGAATCACAAACCAAAGATTACCACTTTCTGCTTTGTAGCACTTCGGTAATAGGTACTTACACATTATCTCTGAAAATATCCGATCTGTTGGCTGAATTAAAAGTATAACAGACACCTTCGTCAGTAAAAATTGGTACGAATACTTTGTTGCAATCCAAATCCTGACCCATGAAATTGCATTCATAGAACGGTTGTCCTGCGCTGAGCTGAAAACACGTCAATAATAAAAGTATATTAAAAATAGGCGTCAAAAAAATTTTAATCAATTAAAATGAACGTACCAAATGTGGGTATTTTGAAAAATTTTTACCAATGACAAGGTACTTACATTGTTAAATACATCATATATCTCATCAGTGACAAATTCATTATCTGGATATTGTATATCTCGATCTCTATCGCATATAAGACCCATATATTTCAAATTTCTTAATCTAGAATACAGAACGACACAATTAATCAATCAACTACATAATAACGTATATGAGATATGACAGATGACAGTTTACAGACGATATACGTCAGTTGACATGTAATATTTACCAGTTTGTATGTTACATAACATTACATACGATATATGATATATGAAACATGACTGTTGCCATATGATATATGATATATGATATATGATATATGATATATGATATATGATATATGATATATGATATATGATATATGATATATGATATATGATATATGATATATGATATATGATATATGATATATGATATATGATATATGATATATGATATCACAATAGGGTAACCAAGAATGTTGTAGTAAGGTTATAAAAATATGCATTTATTTTTGACAGTTGCCATATGATATATGACAAGGAATAATTGATAATAGATAGACCACAATATAGTTAACTTACTCGTCTTCAGTTAGAGTCTCGTTGTTGATGAACGATTTGAGTATCTCTTCGTGACTGTATACAGGTTGCATAGATTTGGATTCTGGGCAAATGGTTACGGCCGGAAATGGTATGGTGTATACTGGAGTTTCCATTGTAGCGAAAGTTACTATTACGGGGCTTTTTATCCACTTTTGGTAGACCATACTTATAGCGAAAAAGCAAGCCGTTAGAGATAATACGAAGACTACGAACCACCAGCCTCTAAAAAAAAAAACTAGTGATTTCAAAAATGTTAACGAGAACATTTTTTAACATGTTACGCCTCTGCTCAAATAGCATTGGTGTCAGAATGAAACACGATTTTCTGCGACGTTAAGAGTCTTTTTTTACCTAGTCTAAGAAACTAATCAGTAATAATGCTCACATACTTCGATAATCAAAATATGTAATTAGTGCTATATATTTAACCCAAAGAGACACTATGTGGTAACATATAACGCTTGTACTGTTTGCTGTGCGTGCTATTATAGATCTTATTATCATGCGACCAATGTTTTTGTAAACAAGGCGTGTCAATCATATGTATATACTGTATATAACGCAGAATCTACGGTTAAATGTTTACTATCACATGAAATATTAATATTTTACAAATTGTTCTTGCCTTTCTTACCTTTCAAAATAAGATCTGTTCTCACCGAAATACTTAAATCCATGAATGCTGGTGTTGTTGCAGTACTCTTTGAAATAATTTCTCACTTTTTTGAAGAACGGATGTTTCTGCTGCTTTTTCTCCATCCTTTACAACTACTGGTCAATGAATTTAATAATTAAAATGCACCTCAGTTTATTCAGGTCAGCATATCATTGATTACTATCAGTATATATAATAATTAAAATTATATGTTTGCGTCGTACAAAGCACGCTATGCGTCCATTTTTTGGGACAATTTTAAAAATAAAAAACGAGGGTTGCCAAAAAGTTAGAACAAATGCAATTGGAGATGAATGAAAAAAAAATCAAAATTCTTTTACTGCAGAGAAATGTTCTGCATTGTATTTTTAAGTGATTAATTTATCGAAAATAATTAATAATCAATTATTTATTTTGATAATCCACCAACCCTAGTTATAACCTAACGTTGTTAGCAATCATTTTTACCAGCACAATTATTTATTTTTTTATTATTTTATTAAAATCTACAAAAAAAAAATTCTACTAAAACTAGCCAAAAAACTACCGAAATAGAGTGGTTTTTTATAGTTGTAATAGATTTTGATTTATGTCATTGCTCCTACAATTAGACTGTCCAGAACACGTGACCCTGACCCTAACAATGGCGACATGTAGTAACACAAACATATTATAAACCATCTATAAACATTAATATACTCGATTTTTAAACTAACTAGGAAGAGCGAATTGAAAAGTCCTATTTACACAGGAAAAAATATATAAAAAAGTAACTAGATATCGTATTAGCGGTAAGTTTAAGAGGCCTGTGTACCAGCGATAAAAATGAGAAAACTGGGCACATAATTTAAGGACAACGGCTTAAGGTGAGTACAGCATAAAGGAGTGCTGTACTCACCTTAACCGAATTAAATATAATTTTGGATATGGCTTTCAGATAAATGGCTTTTTATCGCTATGTTTTTATTTTTTTCAAAAACCAATTTTTTTTTTTTTATTTTAAACATGACACATTTATTTCAAAAAAATGCAACATAGCGACGTTTTATACGGTTTTTCTTGACACATACACTAATTAGATTTTTAATATAAGTTACTATAAGTCTTATATTTTATGACCCGTGATTTTCAAAAAATTAATGACAAAATCATGAGATGCTCGCAATTTCCGACCGATCTGACAACATCGGTGCCGGTGTCGTCGTCTGCAATGTTCAACGAGTTACATTATCATCTGAGCTGTGCAACATTATTGTTATACAGAGTTGGCGGTCGGAATTTTTAAGATTATTGTATTTTGTTTTTTATAAACTATTTTGTGAATTTTTGTTGTTAGGTAATTGTGAGTTTAAGTAAGAAAACTGGTGTAAAAACTATGTGAACATATTTTATACTTATAGTGAATTTTAAGTACTTAGTATTTCTGTAACTTTTAAAAAGGTATGTACCTAAAATAGGAAATATATTCAACTGTTTTTTGTTTATATTTATTTAGATTTCTGTATTATTTCTTGATAAACACTGCTCTTCTATCTAATTAATGTAATTGGATGGTAATTTTTGGTTTCACCAGTTCGTCGTTATATGGGACAAAATAGAACATGCAATTATCACTTAGTCGACATAGATACACAACCCATTTTTATCCCGAAATTGTAAGAAACAAAATAAATATTTCTTTAAATTGGCAAAACAGAGATCTTATAAAAACTCGTTATTAACATAGAATTTATGTGAAATATTGCCTTTCCTTAAAGGAAATTGCAAATTCTAAAAGTATCTTAAAATTATAGGTTGCTTTACAAACGAACACCATGGGCCGAGTAAGAGTAGACGAGAGAAATAAAGAGAATAAACGAGTATGTTTAACATCGGCAAGAAAAAGAACTCTTTTTCGAAAGAAAAAGAAAGCCACCAAACAACACCTGCCTGATCAGGATTACGGCCCCAATGCCAACTATCTACCGTTGGATCCTAATAGTGACGAATATAAACAGAAGGCGCTGAATTTCATAAAATCTATTGAGAAGACACCTGATGAAATCAAAAAAATTGAGAGAAATACGTTGGGACAAAAGTCAAATGCGCAGTGGATTCAAGAAAGGCTGGTAAAGCTTACCGCTTCGAGTTTTGGGCAAATTTGCAAAATGAGATCCACTACCTCGCCTGTAAATACAATTAAAACATTGCTGTATGGAAACTTTTTTGGCAACAAGGCTACTCGGTATGGTAATGAAAAAGAAATAAGGGCTTTATCAGAATTTGAAAAAATGTATAATTTAAAGGTAAATCAGACCGGTTTTTATATTGATCAGACATATCAATTTGTGGGTGCAAGTCCGGGTGGTCTTATAGGGGATCATGCTCTAATTGAAATTAAATGCCCTTTAACTATTAAGGAGCAAACACCAGCTAATGGAATTACCTCAAAAAAAATATATTTTGCCGAACTAATTAATGGCAAACTTCATTTAAAACGGAACCACAATTATTATTTCCAAATTCAGGGCCAATTGGCAATTACAGACCGGCAAATTGGATATTTTTTAATCTGGAGTCCTCATGGTATTCTTGTAGAGGAGGTAAAGTTTTTAATAATATTTTTTATGTTATTGTTATTATTATTATTATTATTATTATTATTATTATTATTATTACCGAACTGTATTTTTGATATTTAGTAATAACAAAACACTTATATTCAGTTAATGGCAATCCGTTAGAATGATCATGAACTAACCAGTTTTATGCCAGTCATTGAAAATTGCAGACTAACTACCATTAGGTTTAAAAAAAAACTATTGAAAATTGTTTAAATCTGAAATAATGACTAAAAATTGTTTTTATTATTCTGAGCGATTCCCAATCACTAAAAAAAATAAACTATAATAGTCATTAAACAAATTTTATCTTATCCTAATCATAATTTAATTTCCTTTTTCTTGTGGATCACACGGGATGACGTATTTTGGAAGGAAAAAATGCTTCCAAAGTTAAAACTATTTTATAATAATTATTTATTGCCTGAAATAGTAGATCCGCTACATCCGAAGGGGCTACCCACGGGGGTCGGATTCCATGTAAATAGTTGGTAACAAGTTTGCTTGACCTCGACAGTAGCGCGCTAAGCGCTTACGGTTGAACTACACCTGTCAGTTTCAGTCGATAAAGTAGAACACTACTAATTAAAGCGATTTAAAAATTGGCGGGCTTGATAATTTAGATATTTGAAGCAATTTAAAGTAACATTTTCCTATTTGACAACTTTTACTTACAACTACTAAACAAACAATAAGTTTAGTGAATTTTTGTTGTAGGTAAATGTTGAAAAATGGAAAATGTCACTTGTATTAACTTAAAAATAAAATTAGTTGAAAAATAAAACACATTTTTAACAAGTTTAATTTATTTAGAATTACCATGTAATTACATGTGTCTCATTATCTTCTAACTGCATATTTTGAACATAACAAGCACTATATCACACACTAAATTACTGAAAAATAAAAATATAATATGATAACCAGCATAGCACATGACAATGTTTCTATTATTAAAAAAACCGGATATAGTTTTTATAAAAAGTCAAAGTAGTTAATTTATAAACACAATTGTTTTAATGTTTTAAATATCCCTTATTAATCCAAGGGCAAATCATTCTAATTCTAATATTCTTATACTTATTGTCCCTTTAAGGCCTTTTTCCATCTAGAATAGTTGTAATGCCTATTTCGGTTACAATAAGCCTCCAGCTTCAATACAGGTGGGCTTTGAAACTCACCCTAATTAAGAAACACATTTATGCACATTCCAAAAATCTCCATACCAGGGAATATCTAAAACAAAACAAAAATAAAGGTGCAGTGTGTATCTTAAAATTAAAAATAAACACGAGTCATAACCTTTTTAAATTCTTACATTTTTCTTGCAATAAAAGGTATTAAAATTTCAATAATAATTGAAAACATCTGATTTATGATCTTAATAAGTGAACTATGCAAAAACTAACAAGTTGACCTAAATAGCATATAAGTTATTGAACATATTTGGGTATTATTTGATAAATATAATAATGAATATCACCCAAAAATTGAACAATAACTTTTTGAGTACACATCATTCGCCTTTTTTCATCATGGCCTTTATGAGTAAAACTAAGATGAGGTTCTATCTCGGGTTCTACAATATTTATTTGTAAATTGGCTTCACACATTTCGCTCACAACTCCTTTCATTTTTTTGACCGCAAATGTTTAAAATGTGGATCCATTTATCTCTAGAGTAATAATAGCAGGAAAAACATAAACTTTCTTGTTAGTTTTGTGAGAAAAATACTTACTTCTGCAATTAAAATTTAAATGAATCAGAAGTTAATGATTTTCTTAAGAACCTGCCTATAGTTAAATTAGTTAAATCTAACTAATACTTAATTAATACAATTTACTCACCTACATTTGAAAAAATATCACCTGCATTTGAAAATGAAAATAATATCAGGCTGGCTGACATATTTATAGCAACATAACCTAATTTATTTTCAAAGCCAGATTTACACCACCTAATAATATTTAAATTTAGCTTTAACTTTAAATTTATTAACGATTATCCCTGTATTTGATCACACATTATAGCAAAGTGAAATTTAAAGGGGTAAATCAGTAAAATTATTGATTTCTTTGTCATTATTTTTGAAAACATATTTTTTTATGGGTGTAAAACGGGTTTGAATTTAGTGATAGCAGCGCGCTAAGCGCTTACGGTTCAACTACCAACAAGGAAACAAATCCCGCCATTTATTCAAACCTTCTCTTTTTATTTTTCTATGGGGCTACCTATTCGGAATAAGGTCGAAACACCTTTATTTATTTAGATTAAATTATGTTTTAATTTTTAAAATAGAATTATAATATTTTACATAAAATTACATGTTATTTTAAATACCATATTTCATTTGAATAATAAAAAAAATATATTTTTAACTAATTAGTACTTAGTACAACACAGATATGTTAGGAGAGGGTTGTAACACTAAACTCGACTATTTAACTTCACTATTTATTACATTCGACTAAACTGTATAATGATTCGCACAATAATGCCCTATATCTAAAATAA